GAAATAGAAAGAACGATATTATCGTGTCTGCTCTTCGAGCCTTTATATATTTTTATTATAAGGATAAACAAAAGTCCAACATTTATCATCAGTTGTATATCCACTTCAAGAGAGGGAAGTAGCAATCATATGTCTCATACCACATCTCAACTAGAAGAGGTGAGAGATATTTTAGTTGTCACTTTTCTTTTAATCCTTATTACATTTTTGCATAAAAATGTTAACATAAAAAAGACAACATTGATGTTGAAATGACCTCTTAAATTCTTTAAGTTAATGTATTAAAAAATTAAATTTTATTCTTTAATTATGAATTATTTATTTCATGATAAGATAAATTAGTATTATTTTAAAAAATTAAAAATAATAAATTAATTTCTATTTTATTTTTATTTATTTAATTATAAAAGATATTTATTGATATTATTATTTATAAAAGTAGAATTAAATAAATTGATAATTATTTAATTATATGAATATAAAAAACTATTTATTATTATTTTTATTTATAAAAAGGTAAAATTAATAATTTAATTATTATTTGTATATTTATATATAAAGAAATAGAAGGAATTTAAAAATATAGGTACAGTGTCAACTGGTACCTAGCGATTGGAGAACACAGATTTGTGACGGCTTGGAAAATGGTGTAATAGGCGAACCAGTCATGACGTGCCATGTGTGGGGCTACAACAGGTAGAAGAGAAAGACTTGGTTTGAGATAACCCTAACACATCATATTTGCAAACACTCAAAATTGTTTGACACGTCATAAAATTGTAAGTCTCGTTACACCAAATCATTAAATATGAAATAATGAGAGAGGAAAGAAAAATAAAAAAAATATGAATTAATTTAGTATGACCCAAAATTTCATAATTGTCAAATAATTATAGGTTGTTTCTAACTAAGTTTTTATCCAAATACTAGTTAATGATAAACTAGTGATGTAGAAAATGATTGGGGACAGAATGATGAATAGCACAGGAAAAACAGGGATATTTTTTACCTAGTATGATTTATTACCTAGTATGGTTAGAGTAAATTATTATATTTATACAAATAATATAAAATATACAAATCTGTGTTCTCCAATTGAAATGATTGGGGACAGAATGATGAGTATAATTTATTACCTAGTATGATTTATTTACTTTTGAAAAACATCATGGTTGTAAAATTATTTTTTGGGTTCTCTTTTAGTTTATTATATTAAATAATTGTCACTCTTTTGTAAAATCATCAAAATACTTGTGTTTCATCTAAAAATTAATTTTCAAGAGGAAAAAATTTAAATTTCATTATTTCACATAGAAATTATTGAAATACCTCAAATTAGGTAAAATAACATAATATCTTTATAAATATTATTATAATAGTCATATACAAATAATTATTTGAATTTACAAAATCACAAAAATAATCACTTTATCCTCCATCCTTTTCTCTCTCATTTTGTATGTCCTGTAAAATGTGTTCACATGAGATAAAGTTGAAACTTGTAGAGAGTTTAATGTTATTCATGTACTTGAAAAGTGTAAAAATTTGAGGTTTTAATGATTGAATTTAGATAATTAAATAGTGTCATTAGTTTACTATGATGACATTACTTAGTAAAAATGAATTGCGACCGAGAAGAAGTTTGTTGATAATCTAATATTATTCACTCATTTGAAAGTGTTTTCAACTCATCTTTTAAACTTGGCATGACAAAAGTGCTTTGAGGATGAGACCACTAACTAAAGTGATATTTCTCGAAAGAGAAATTAAGAAATCTTGAGTAAAAGACTTAATGAGCTAACTTCATTTAATGTGCATGAATGAATTATTGTACTTTTATAGTTGAAATTAGAGATAATGGAAAGATATGATGATATATATATTTTATGATTCATCTCGAAACATTGAGGAATTCCTCATGTGTAATTTTATAATCCCCTTGGTCATTTAATTTGGATAGGTCTTTTTTAGTTTTGGATTTATATTCTTTTGAACCCTAAGTTTTTATGGAATCTTGTGCTTATAAAATATATTATTTTATTTATGAGTTCAATTAAGTGATTTTGTAAAATCTTCATATTTCAAATGAAAGTTTATATAATTTTAATGCGTCATTTTAAAATAAAGTTAATTTTAAATGTTTATGCACATTGCATTTGTAATAATTTAAGCTCACTCTAATAATTTTAGGAGTACAATATTTTCAATAATAAAACTTATGTTTTTACTTAAATTGAGGTTAGGGATGACAATAAAAATCGAACACGTGGGTATCCGCCCGAACCCAACCCGAATTTAACGAGGAAAATCCGATGTGATTGGGTTCGGGTTCAGATTTTACCTGAGTTTAAATTTCGGGTTTGGTATTGTTAATATCATACCCTGGACCCAATTAATATATATAAAATTATAAAATTACACACAAATACATATATAAAAAGCGATATATATGAGAATAATGCATATCCTCATACAAGGAGATAACTTACATCCTCCAGCCAGTGAAAGAATAACATGTGTATTGTTTTGTTTTTGAAATATTTTTGTAGAAAATGATTAAATGGTACACATGTCACAATTTTAGTGGTTGGAGAATATAATTTATATCCTTATACCAGGAGATACATTATTCTATATATATATATAAATTTCATATATATATATATATATATTATATATATTATATATATATATACCTGAAACCCGACGAGTTCACGGATAATATCATTATTTTTAACCCTGCTTAATTCGGGTTCGAGATCGAGTTTTGGATTTCAGGTTCGAGGTTGGGTAAGCACAAACCCGACCCGCCCCGCCCCATTGCCATTCATATTGGGGTGTTACATGACCCCCTCTGGTTTCTCCAAAGGCCTACCTTTAGGTAAGTTTGGATATGTTGGACTAGACTCCGACCGAGGAGCCTCCAACCACTGGAGAGTTCCATTGTTACTGGATTATGGGAAGAGTAGAGAGCCATAAGTGAGCTACCACGTCTTGAACCAAAACATTAAGCATTAGTTCCATGAGTTTTTTCTACTTATAAACTCTTTTATTTTTCCCCATATCCAATGTGAGACTTCACACTTGAATAAACCCAACAATCTCCCCATCAAGTGTGGGTACCACACACTTTCCGGTCTGCTCCCCTTAAGTCCACTATGTATCAGCCGAACCATCGGTACCACTTGTTGGACCAAACTACGACCGGGAGCCTCCAATCACCGGGGAGTTCCATTATTATCGGTGGTATGGGAAGAGTGGAAAACCATAAGTGAGACACCACGTCTTGAACTAAAACTTTAAGACATTAATTCCATGAGTCTTTTCTACTTATAAATTCTTTTATTTCTCCCCTCATATTTAATGTGGAACTTCCCACTTGAATAAATCCAACTGAATAATCTCATGTAAATAGCACAAGCTCATTATAGTTGGCCTAATCCTAATGGAATATATCATTTTAAAGTTTTAAATTTATTTTATGTTTTTTTAATTAAACTCAAAAAGCATACTTTTTTTAATTATCAACACAGAAAAATGCCCAAACAAACTATAAAATCTTTCTGAGAACATGTAATCTCATTAGTATCTTCACATAATAGATTTCGACCAATATTGAGATAAGAAGAGTTTTAAAAATATAGTTAAAAATTTCCAACATGTGAATCTCTATCAAAACAATAGATTGATGACAACTTGTGCAAATTGAAGGGATACAGTTAAATTATTTTTTATATATAAGGAGATACTTTATTCTTGGAATAAGTGTTGAGTAGTTAATCACATATTCATTCTATTAATTGAGTGTTGTGGTATACCAACAATATATTTGTCTAGTCGTGTAATGCCTCATTAGATCTCTAGAAAGATCAAAATGTTAATAATTCGATTCTTGGGAGCGACACTTGTTAGAAGGGATAACCACAAATTTCAAAATAGATTAGTTCATTACTCATAGGGTGAAAGGATACCCTTTATAATACCAAAGAAATTGAGTATCGTGGTATATATGATTTGTTAGTGAGTTTGTCTGAGTGAGTTAGATAGTCATTTGTTCACACCTCATAAATATATTGGGACTTAGTGAGAAGAGAACCCAAATATTAGACTACAATAATTAAACTTAAACGTCAAGTCTTGAAAGTAGTCTTAGATTTTTCGAGGATTTTATTGGGTTGTCACAAAGAAATGAACAAAGAATTTTATTGGGTTATTCATAGACCAAACTTGGAGAAATCCTATTCCTTTTGCAAAAATTATAATTATATTTGATATAGAAGTGTGTTTGATGTAGATGAAGTAACAATACAATCATAATATTTGGTTGCTTTGCATCACACAAAAAAAATAGTCTAATTTAGTGGATAAAAGAAAGTGAACTTTATGATTGCATGAGAAATATTTTATATTGTCTCATAATTCAATTCTATTGATTTCGTGGTTTGAATCAGAACTACTTACCCCCTAATTTTTAATTATTAAAATATACATTGTACAAAAATGATTATGTAATATAGGTAAGTACATAGAAGTACCATAAAATCTTTTAAGAGAGAAATAAATTAAGGATGAAATGATGATGTGAAATAAGTTTATTTTATTATATAATAATTAATTAATAGATTATAGGATTCAATAAAAATTACATAAATCACACATCTTTTTTTACTTATATAAAACAATTATAATTTATATGCATATACTACACTTAATATCTTAAAAAATGATATAAATATAATTAACCTAAAACTCAAACTCACATTCTAATTTAGTAAGTTTGTAACATTAGAAGTAAGATGCTAACACAAATAAAATTACTTAACATTCAAAAAAGTATTTTTATATATGAAGAATTTAACAACTTATGTAATATTTTTGTTTTTCACATGTTATTTCAAACACTATAATATTCAATTTTTGTGAGCAATAATTATTTAACAATTTAAACAAACATCAAAATTTTGAATTAATTATTTATTATATAAGATGAGAAAAATACGAGGGAGTTTTTTTTGTACTACCAATTAAGGCGAGTTTTTGAATATAAGGGTGAAGTGATCATACACATGGTGTGAGCAATATCCAAGACCTTCTCTCTCCAATGGCTACTTCACAAGAAGCCATTGATGTTGCTATTCCTTCAACTTCACCTTCCACTTCCCCTCAATCCCTTCCTCTCCATAATCGACTCGCAATCGTCACCGGCTCTTCCCGCGGTATCGGTCGACAAATCGCCCTCCACCTCAGTCAACTCGGCGCCCGACTCGTCATCAACTACTCCTCCGATAACTCGGCTCCAGCTGACTCACTCGCCGCAGAGATCAACGCCGTCGCCGCCGCTGCTTCCTCCGCATCCATCCCGCGAGCTATTGTTGTTCGCGCTGACATATCCGATCCAACTCAGGTGCAGTTACTCTTCGACTCTGCTGAGCGGGATTTCAACTCGCCGGTTCACATCCTGGTTAACTCAGCCGGAACGTTAGACAGTAAGTATCCCACAATCGCTGATACATCGATCGAGAGCTTCGATCGCGTCTTCTCTGTGAACGCTACAGGTATTATAATACTTAAGATTATTCTTATAGCTTGATTAGTGTTAGTCTTAATTTAGTTAAATTAGTTTACTTAGTGGAGCCTTACCTTTTTTAGTTTGCTTAAGGTCCGGTTTCTATTCTCATTCCCCTCCAAAATTCAACTCACAAACAAACCTTTAATACATATGTCTGGGAGTTGGTTTTTAGAGGGAAATGATGGAAGGACTGAGAAGGCCGAGATGACTATCCAGTTCTACCATTTATTTTCGTCCAAAATCTAACTCCCAAATATATCCTCTTTGTAGTTTGAAAAGTCGAAAGAAATAATGAAATAATTTTTTAACGTTTTGTCTTATGAATCAGCCCATTATGGAGTAGTTAATTTAGAGATAGACAATTGAACAGTGACAACTCATTAAATTGTGGGTCTACATCACCCATTCAATTTTTTTTTCTTCTCTTTTCTCTCTTTCTCTCCCTTCTCTCTACCATTAACATTTTCAAGCTTTCTTAAACTTCAAAGTCCTTCTTCTTCACCTACCTCCAAGTCCCAATTTTTTTCTCCCCATGTCTCTCTTCCTCTCTTATCTTTTCCACTCCACCACAAATGTCAATAATGGTTTCTCACAGTATATCTAAATACAGAGGAAATAGGTTTGGGTAAAGAACTGAAATTGGGGCAAGTACCACGCTTGAAATGCTCTGAAGAAGGATTATAAGTGGAAAAAATTGCATTCCAAGGAGAGCATATGAGATTCACGGCTTTGGGTAAACCTGTTTAAGTGTAACATGAGTTCTTTAAAGGGAATGGGAGGAGGAAATGTAGGAAGAGAGGATATAATGTTGCTGGTGGCGCCGTATGAGATGCTGATGAGTGAACTAAAGAAGGAGGTAGATGAAGAAGAAGGACTTTGGAGGTTTAGGGAAGCTTGAAAATGTTAATGGCAGAGAGAAGGGAGAGGAAGGGAGAAAGGGGAAGAAAAAAAATTGAATTGGTGATGTGAACCCACATTTTAATGAGTTGTCACTGTTTAATTGGCTGTCTCTAAATATGAAGTGTTGGGTTGTATGTATGCAAGTTTTTCTAGTTAATTTAGTATGTATTTCATTGATTGCCCAATCATAATGATTTCCAAGACTGCTTATTCATTATAACTTTAATATGGAAAATGACAAAACTTAGGTAAAGTACCATAGGTGCTACTGGTACAAGTGACCTATTAGAAGATGATACGTGTACATTTTTTGTTACTTTCAAGGAAGAAACATTTATTATATTTACAATAAAACATTTTTTGACCTTGAAAGTAACAAAAAATGTACACGTGTCATCCTCTAATAGGTCACTTGTACCTCTTTATCTAAGTTTTGTGCGATGGACAATAGCTTTAGCATATTTTACCATCTTTGTGGGACAGAGAAATACAACTTATGTGATTAATGCATAAGTTTTAACTTTCTTTTTTAGTAAATAAGATTTTTTTTGTACTATCAAGGGTATCCTCACCATTTGGTTAAGGAACTAATCTTTTTCGGAATGCGTCATTGTGCCTCTAAATGAGTGTCGCTCCCAGGAATCGAACTCTTTACATTTTGGTCATACTGGGGATCTAGTAGGCTTTTAAACCACTAGACCAACACCTTGTTCATATTTATCTATTTGTTCAGGAAATCAAGATAACATTAATGAATGTTTTTAAAACTCTAGGCATGCGTAATTAAGAAGAGATAATAAGTAAAGAAGAATGATTATAATTACTATAGAGAGATAAAGGGCAAATAGGTATTGAGGTAGTACTATGCTTAGTTGGTTATGAGTTAGCACTTTTATTTAAGGTTTCAAATTGTGTACCATATCAACTCAATTGCGGTATAGACTGAAATAACAAATTTTCAACTACAATCTGCAATTTAAAATCATAATGTTAGATTATGCTTCTAGGTATGAGTTAGCAATAAAGGGTTTGGATAGTTTGTATGTAGTTGTAGGTATAACCTCATTGTCACAGTTCTATCAAGAAGTTGGTTAGATTAACTTGCTGAGTGAATGAGTGAACAAGTTAGTTTTAGATAATTACTTTTACTCTTTGTACATCCACACATTTAGTCTCAACTCTGTTTGTCTCTTTCCATGATAATCAACAACAGGGGCATTCCTGTGCAGCAAGGAGGCAGCGAACCGTTTGAAGCGCGGTGGTGGGGGCCGGATTATACTGTTCTCATCGTCACAGGTGGCGGCACTGAGGCCGGGTTTCGGGGCATACACTGCGGCGAAAGCAGCAGTTGAGGCGATGACAAAGATTTTGGCAAAGGAGCTGAAGGGCACTGGGATCACGGTTAACTGTGTGGCTCCAGGGCCGATCGCAACGGAGTTGTTCTATGGCGGGAGGACAGAAGAGCAGGTGAAGAAGATAATCAATGAGTCCCCCCTGGAGAGGCTCGGGGAGACAAAGGATGTAGCACCTTTAGTGGGGTTTTTGGCTTCTGATGCTGGTGAATGGGTCAATGGTCAGATTATTCGTATCAATGGTGGTTATGTTTAGTGTATAGCAAGTATGGGCTACTGTTGATTGGTATGCTTCTATGTTCTCTCTCCCTGAAGTATTATTTTGGGGGCCCTAGTTTATCTATTGGAAATATCAGTCAATATATATTTGAAATCCATGATTTCTTGAATTGTGATAAATTGTTCTGTTAGTGAATAATTTTTGTAACTTCTGCTATCCCAAGATGAGTAGTATTCTGGCTTCTGTGTTTCATGGAGATATCACATTATTGAGTTTGGCTCCTCTCCTGTAATAGAGAGTCCAGTGAGCCCTCAGATTGCGACACGTGTAATAAAAAAAATGGACGGCTGAGATTTAAAATTGTATTACGTGTAATCGATTACCATATGGTGTAATCGATTACACCAGTTAAGTTAAACAGTGTAATCGATTACACAACCCTGGTAATCGATTACATATTTTAAAAAAAAATAGGAAGACATGGTTCTCATAAGTGTAATCGATTACCACATGGTGTAATCGATTACACCAGTTAAAAATTTAAAATACAAACTCAACGGCTTTCTGTAATCGATTACAATGTGAAAAATGCACATATCTGATGCTTTTAATATGTTGTAATCGATTACTAGTATAGTGTAATCGATTACATCATATAAAATGCACAGGTCTGATTAGTTTATCATCATGTAATCGATTACCAGGGTTGTGTAATCGATTACACTGTTTAACTGGTGTAATCGATTTTTTTTATTACACGTGTCGCAATCTGAGGGCTCACTGGCCTCTCCATTACAGGAGAGGAGCCAGACCCCACATTATTATTAGAGAAAACGTTGTCTTAAGTGAAAATGTTGCCTTTTCAGTTCAATCTATGGAACTTAGTCTCCAAGATACCTAAAACCATATTTTAAGGAGGTTAAAAATGATATAAACATACTAAAGAAGTTGAAGTATTAATGAAAAACTCCATCTTCATTAGTGGTAAAATGTATTTTATCCTTGTCAATTGTCATTACTCATTATGTAACACCCCAGTCCTAACATGCGACCCTCAGGCCCATGAATACACTGAGCGTATCATCCACCAGGTTAAATATTCCCTGCAATATTTTATTCCCCAGAAAGGGGAGCCTCTCGCGACTCGAACCCATGACCTCAAGAACAAATAGTTATTATTCCCATGAATCTGACACAGCTTAATGGTAGCGAATCATGGGAATAATGACTATCTGTCCCTGAGATCATGGGTTCGAGTCGCGAGAGGCTCAATTTGTGGGGAATAAAATACTGCAGGGTATTTAAGGTGGTGTATAACACGTTCAGTGCATTCATGAGCCCTGGGGTCTATAGGCTATAGCTACTTTGAACAAGGATCATTCTTTGATAAACTGTCCCGTTTTGAAATACTAGATGTGCTGTATTCAATACTTTTCCAAAGCCCTCAAGCTGTTGTTTGTTGGTTTCAATACAATAGAGAGAAATGTTGCATGAATATCTTTGCATTGTTTGCCTTATAACTGAGAGGTTATGGGTTCAAATCCCGAGACAGCCTATTTGCTTGGAGGGTAAGACTCTGTAGACCTATCCTCCACTAGGTGAGATCCTAGTGCACTGTGCCTCCATTTTTTTTTAATCTTTGGACCATATTCACCCTTGGCCTTCCACTGGCTTAAGTAAACACAGCTCATCTCATATGCAATTGCAGAGATAATATTGTTTATTTTACTATTCTTCAAATACTTCCACCAAAATACCTTGATTATGCATCCATTTTAGTACAGGATTTTAATAGTTTATGTAACATGTTAAGGGATAGGTTTAATTCACCATGAAAAAAGTTGATGTTACACTGCCTGCCCATGAGATACATTTTTGTCTCCTACCTTTGAAATGTGATTGAACATCTTGTACTGGACACTGAAGCTAACATGATTTATTGTACTTGATTACTTGGTCAGGAAGAAAGGCATTTCCAAATATTTTGCACCTGTTTTGATAGGTTGAAGACCAATGAGGTTATGAAAATAATGTCTTTTCCTTTGAAAGTTCTGTGAGAGATGCAAACTCCATATTTGTGTTTAACTCTATAGCTTCTGAGACCTGAATGATTCATTATTTTTCGGCAGCGGGTGAATAAATTTTCAGAAACATGTAACTTCCATTAACATTTAATTCTGGCTGTTCTCCATTATATATTTTCTCGAAGAGGCTATTAGCAGAACCACCACATTTTAACTAGTTAGAGATTCTTATTTAGATAAGTTATATCTTATAAGTGTACATTCTATTCCTTAGCGAAAATAACCATTTCACAACATCATTCTGCTTGATTACTTTTTATCAATTTGAAATTTACTAGTTTATGGATTTTTTTGGGTGATAAGTTGCCAATGATATTATGATTATTGATTACATGGTATCTTATTAGTTAAACTATCTAGTGACTATCCTGAATTAGAAAACTCATGTCATCTTGACTGTTTTCCAGGTACATCAAATGCACAAGAATGATCTATATGAGATGACTCAATAAGGAATTGTGTGCTTCTTCTAATCATGCTTCCTTCTTTGTAAAGCTTAAACAAATTAGACGAGTGTACGAGGAATCACGAGTTCTGGTTTTACGGTGGGGCGTGGAAAATGTTGCTGCCTTTGCCTACAAGTGGTGAGGTTGTTTCTCGGATTTGAATTTATGACATGGCTTGCAAGTTGGTTTATGATTGGTATCTATGCCTTCGTTGTTTATTCTTTCTACTTGAAATAGTAATATTTAAGATCCAAATGAATGTTATACATATTCTCAGTTTATGCAAATTGGAGAATGATGTAGTAGTAGTAGTTATACATTCCATGACCCATCTTAATTGTTTATTCTCACTCTTCAATAAATTAAATGGCTATTATATCAAATAATTAAACTAATTTATATGTATAAAAAAACTAATTTATGTTATTATTCTCTAGTCATGTTAAATAGGACAAGATTAAATTAAGAGTTTAATATAACTATAATATCAATCATTTAAGTATATCATTTTTATATAAATGTAATGTAAATGAAAATTAATATATGAATGATTAGGGATTATGGCAATGGGGCTGGATGAGTGGGTAGTGGGTAACAGGTATCTGTGGGTACCCAACATATTTATAACTTTTATTATATATTAGCGTGTCGACAGGCATAATAATTTAAATATAAGAAACAAAATATATAAACTCAACATAATGGAGATTTAAGAATATAACATGTGATAGTTGATATGATATACACAACTTTTGCAAATTTCTCATTTTGTGTCTTTAATAATTAGAGTAAATTACACTGACACCCCCGAGTTTTAGTGAAATTACATAGATCATCCACACCTTTTTAAAACCTACACAAATCGTCCCTAATTATATATATATATATATATATATACATTATATTGACTACCTTTATAAGAGAGATAGATGTAATTTCTTAAACAAAAAATGACGACGAATGTTATTAAATCAAATAAAATATGATACATTGTAAAGACAAGTTCAAATAATATAAGAGTCGATGAATATTTATAATTTTTTATTCGTTACAAAGTACATTAATAATTATAAGGAGATGTTCAAATTACTTTTATATTATATTATAACTAACCAAAATAATGAATAGACATCGATTCTTATACTATTTGGATTTGTCTTTACAATGTACCATATTTTATTGAACTTGATTACACTTCTCGTCATTTTTTGTTTAAAAAATTACATTTATCTCTCTTACAAGGGTGGTGAGTGTAATGTATATATATAATTATGGACAGTTTGTATAGGTTTTAAAAAGGTGGGAGTGATTTGTGTAATTTCATTAAAACTCAAGAGATGTCAGTGTAATTTACTCTAGTAATTATTATAGAGTTGTTGCATGTTTTTTGTGTGTTATTGTTTGTTCTTATTGGGTTGAAAACATAGTTGTAAAATCCGGTTCGTGCCGGTCCCAATATCGGTAATAAGAGAATGTGTATTAATAATATATTAATTTAAAGAATGAAATCAATGTGTGAAGGAATGATAGTTACTTCTTATTTTGGCTTTATTAATACTAGTGTGTCTACATACACTTCGTGTTTGCCGACCCACATTCTTATTTTATTATATTAAATATTCAATTTTTATATATTTTATTTTATATAATTAGAATATTTTTGTATTAAAAGTACTTTATGTTAAAAAATGTATTTATTGTAATGTTCAATTTAAGGCGAGATAGGTGGTTAATGTGTTAATGGTAGTTACCTAAGATTATATGATTTTTTGTAAAAATTAAAAAAATGTAAGGGCAAAATAGGAAATTTGAAATTACACCATGAGGTTGTTATTTCATGTTTTGGCTTTATATATAATATAGATATAGATATAGATAATAGTATATATATATATATATATATATATATGTAGATTTATATATTTATAACAATTATTATATAAAAATAATTATTACATTAATAATAATATATATGATAAATTTATGATTATAGTCAAATCAATACAATTTATTATGACATAACAATAAAATAAATAATATATAATCTTAAAATAATAATAAAATATGTGGGCATCTATGGAGTAAGTATCACAAAATTTATTCTTACCCATAAGTTATTATTATGGTATCAATTACTGATAATTTTACGGATACTCAAGGTGAAATAAATAATGTGAATAAATAATTTCAAAGGATATTTTTGTCCACAAGCAAAGTACAAATAAGTATAAAACTCCAAATTGTGATATGGG